TAATAGCTTCTAAACTCTTATTGGTTTATTGTTATGGTAACTGCTTATAATTGTAACTGTGACAACTTTGACAAGTTGTGAATAAGCAAATGGTAAAATAATTGTTTTGCTAATTTATTTTCTAGCAAATTGTTAGTTTTGAATGAATGGACGTCGCTTAACTTTGTTAAGTTGTTAAGTACATAGTGTTGGGTTTAAACAAAATTAAATGAATTATATAATTGTTAATGAATATAAGAATTGGTTGTAAAACTGCGATTGGTTGGAGACGGGACAATGGATTGTTAGTTGTTAACAGAGAAATTGTGCCATTGTGTGTTGGAGGCGGCGTGTGTCGAATTTGGCGGAACAATTTGAGGACGAAAAAGGAATTGATCGGCTCGTGCACGTACTAGGGATTGAAGTGCGTGTCGCGACAGGTAAACGGTTAGGGGTTCAACCCTTTCTCGCGGCGGCGGAGGCGGCGGTTTCGTCGAGGGTGGCGCTAGAAGCAAGGCAGCAGCGCTCAAACGGTGATCTAATGGAAGCGAGTATCGAGCGAGGCAGGGGGTGGTGGCGGCGGCGGAGGCTGTGGCGTCGACGTCGGCGTCGTCGTCGGTTCTCGTCGTGGCCCCCACCGGGCGCCGTACCACAATCAAAAACGACTTCCACGGATGTCGTCACGTGACCAGCGGCCCCGTACTTATACTGTAACCGCTCAGTGCCTTCCCAGTTCGGTCGGAATCAGGCGCATCATCGCACCGTAGAAACGAGCGACGCGTCTCCTTCTCCTTTTTCCTTTATTTTCGTTACACAATTCGCATTTCGCTGCAAGAACAAAAGAAGAGGCAGAAGGTGAACGAAATCGAGGAGAAACAAACTAATTTCATACATCATTTCGGCCAGTGATTTATTCTTATATATTTATATATAGTAATATAAAGAAATCTTAAGAACTGAAACCATTTGTCTGTGATCCAGTTTAATAGTCGAGGAGCGGAAGCGTGCTTCCCCAGTGATTATTACTTCTTCAAAAAAATCCAGATTCAGGACGGAGCAAACACACCACGTAAGTATCATCGTCTTCTTGGCGGCGCGCCGTTACGTAATTCCCCTCCTGAAAGACTCTCGCGTTCATCTCGGATCTATCGCATCCCGCGGCGGAACGCACCACACGTGCATTCCCACTTTTGTTACAATTAGCGTGCCGGCTAAACAAATATAGTTTGTAATCTCTCTCTTACACGTTTACTCTCTCTATTTATTTATTGCTATGTTTATTGTTTGCTTTTGTGCCCTCCGGATCCGTTGATAACACGTAAATAAACATTGTGTCGCTGCATTTTCGATAAATGGTTGTGAGACTCTCCACGATCGCGCAGACCTTAGAAACGTCAAACGCACGTGGTCTCATCTTTCTCTCTCCGTGTGGATCCGAAAATAATGCAACTGACAGCAGACCACGCGTTTTTACATCTTCCTGAACGTTACAGAATCTTTAGAAAATTCACAGAAATATCCGTGTTTTTAATAAATTAACGTTACAGAATATCAAGAAATTCTCGCTTGGAACGAAAAGAAATTTGATGATTCAATAAAAATATATAATAAAATCATATAATTATATAAAGTAGGATACAAACTTTATATTACTTACAAAATCTCAATTCACATTACATATAAAAATAATATTTAATTAAATTATTAGTAAAATCAATGAATTAGTTTTATAGAAATATCGAAAATTATCGATAGGAAATTAAAAGAAATTTAAATACATAAAATACATATTTATACCTACATTTTTAGTGTTTAATAAAATGAACAAAATGAACAAATTTTACAAAATTTCGTAAATTCTCGTTAGAAATCAATAATAAATGATTCAATAACAAATATAATAGAATCAAATATTTATGTAGAATAAGATACGAATTTTACATTTTTTTTAAATTACATTAGAAATCAAAAATCAATTACAATATTACTAAAATCACCTATTTTTACTTATATAATTATAAAAATGGACTTTGGGAATTCATAAATAAATTTAATTTGTAGAATGAAAATTTTTAAAATTTACATATTTATACACATCATGAGATAAAATATACATTTTAAGAATGAACGTATCAAAATATCAAACAATTTTACACAATTCTCGCTAGGAAACAAAAAGAAAATTTGACGATTAAAAAAAATTATTCTAAAATTATATATTATTATAAGAATTTTCCATTTTTCTATCTTGAAAAACTCAGGAGATTCAATTAAAATGTTAGTAAATATTCAAATTTTACTATTATAAATATATAATATAGACTTTCTAGACTAAACCAGGATTTCATAAATAAATTTAGAATTATTTTCCAAATAAATCCAATACTTAAAATAAAATGAAAATTCAAGTGTAAATAATTCTTCAAATCCAAAATATTTATACAGAATAAATCTACTAAATCGATCTTAACGAGTAAAATTTCTGGATTTTTTACTCGTATAGTGAAATGTACTTAAAAACACACATGATATGTGTACACAAGTTTTAAAAATGATGTAGAAGGCGCGCAATCCGGGACTTCTCTTCTCATCGTCACTCGTTATGCGAAACGTCGCTCGTTAAGCGAAATTACTCATTTTGCTCGTTAAGCGAGGTTCCACTATATACAATAAACATGTATTAAACAAATCTAATTTGAGAAAATTTACAAAGAAAATATTTCTATTATTAAATCGTTTCTAACGCATTTAATTTCATATTAATTAATCTTTTTATAATCGATTTTGTATATGATAATAATTAAAATACTATTAACTAACATAATAATTATCGTTGGAAAAGACCTTCAATAAATAGCCTTTCCAAAATTAATATTATTTTTTTCTATTAATTACTATTAACATTAATTACAATTCATTTGCTTCTTTTACAATCAAAATTACAACATCAAAAATTTAAATTACCGAAAAGAGAAATAATTAAAAATTGATTTTTTTAACACGTTATTAATATTTCATATGTATATTGTTGACGTAATTATTTGATAGTTGCATCAAATATTGTTATTGTTATTACAATTTTTGTTTATTTACACGATTAAAGAAAACATATCACTTGCCAACAATTACATAACGGTTTAAGTTACAAAATTATAAATAAGCAATTTTGTATTTTCAATTATGTAATGATTATAATCAAATGATCAACATAATCAATTAGTCTTTTAAATATTAAATAAACTTTACATAATTGTATAATAGTTGCAACGAAAATAATAATTTTACTACAAATGTATGATTTTTTTGAACTTTGTAACAAATAATAATGATGATTTTATAGTTATATAACACAATTATTGATATACAGAAATTATGCAATAATTAGTAAACTAATTAAGTTAATTTGTATTACCATTAAGCAATCTGTTAATAATTAAAATTCCAATACCAAACTCAGCGTTTTTTCTTTTTGTTGATTGTTAAATATCAAATATGAAATTAAAGCGATACTTCGAACAGTGCGGCTTCGATCTGTCCGGATTTTATAACAACTAAATCATAATTGAGCAAAATAACTAACAAGTCCTCTATTAGTACGGTTTCAATCTAATTATTTATGAAACGAAGAAAGATTTATGTTTTCTCATATCCCAATAAATTTGTGAAAACAGGATTGGAAAAAAAAATCATTAATTAATTTGGAAAAAGCACTAATAAATAGTTTTCATTCTGAATATAATAAAGCAATACTTCACACAGTGCGGCTTCGATCAGTCCGGATTTTATAACAACTAAATCATAATTGAGCGAAATAACTAATAAAGAAAATTAAGTTAATTTCTATTAGCATTATAGTAATCTGTTAATAATTAAAATTCCAATACCAAACTCAGCGTTTTTTTTCTTTCTGTTGATTGTTAAATATCAATTATGAAAAATGTATTAAGTTACATTCAATTCCATCGGGTTTATATTTATAGTAATTGATATATTTTTGTACGTTTTCATTATGAAATGTAACGTTTATTGCTTTGTAAAACGATACTGAAACTTCCTTTCCGTTCGGTGAAGAATATTAAACAATTTAAACACGTTAGTCGAGAGTGATAGTGAAATGAGGGGAATGTGGGTCAAGGTCTTTTCTTTTAATGTTCGTGCGTGCATTCAACGCGGTTCAACTTACCTATCAAAACTGTTACATTTATATTAAATAATTGAATTTCATTAAGAACACACACACAGAAAAAAGTGTCGTAAAACCAATTTTTTAGACAAATTTAATTAAAAAATTTATAATAAATTAAAATTCCATTAATTTACATGATAAATTAAGTTTTTAATCAAATTTATATATAATCTATGCATATTATTACATTAATATATTTCAATTATGTATGTATGAATCACAATTTCTTGTTGATTGACCTTCTCGTGATGTAAAAAAATGTTTTTTTGTTCCTTGTATAATTGAATTTCATTAAGAACACACACACACACAAAAAAATTGTCGTAAAACCAATTTTTTAGACAAATTTAATTACAAAGTTTATATATTAAAATTCCATTAATTTACATGATAAATTAAGTTTGTAGTCATATTTATATATAATCTTTGCATATTATTACATTAATATATTTCAATTATTTGTGTATGAATCATAATTTCTTGTGGATTGACATTCTCGTGATGTAAAAGAAAGGATTTTTTGTTTGTTGTGACCTTAACTTCTCTGTGCGTGTGTGCGTCTCCAAAAAATTTCCCCGTCTGGACGCGAATTGTGATGTAACAGAGTAAAACCGGAAAAAAACGGCATATAAAGAATGCATAAAAGAATCGGTGTGACGCAACCTTTACCGATTTCGGTTTACGAAAGGTAATAATTTAAGGCGATGCGTTTAATTGTAGTCGTATAATTATGCAACTGTTACGTCTCGCCGAAGAACCGATCGGTATCAATCATATTCCAACATGTTTTCTTATGTAATTTCTTGTTTTAAATTATTGTCTTTTTTTGTTAATTTCTTAATTATCAGGTGTTGAATTTGGAAATTTTCGTTGAGATGAATACATTTTGAGAAGAAGATGGGAAGATTTTTTTTTAATCTTGCATATTTGGAATTTGTGTAGAATGTAAATAGACGAAGAAATATATTTATTTGTCATTATGATGAAGCAATACTTCGAACAATCCGGATTTCATATTAACTAAATTATAATTGAGTAAAATAACTTTCAGAAGTTTATTTTTGTGCAGTTTTAAAATTCCAATAAATTTGTTAAATCTGGATTCAAAAAAAAAAGTTAATCTGGAAAAAGTACTAATAAATAGATTTAATTCTGAAGAGAATAAAGCAATACTTCACACAGTGCGGCTTCAATCAGTCCGGTTTTTATAACAACTAAGTTTTAATTCAGCGAAATAACTAATAATGAAAACAAGTATACAAAATTATTATTTTTTTTATACATACAAGTATAATTGTGCGTTTTTAAAGTCCTCTATAGTACGGTTTTCAAAATCATAATTATTTATGAAACGAAGAAAGATTTTTTGTTTTATAATATTTCAATAAATTTGTTAAATCAGGATTAAAAAAAAATCATTAATTAATTTGGAAACAGTATTAATACATAGTTTTCATTCTGAATAGAATGAAGCAAAACTTCACACATTGCGGCTTTGATCAGTCCGGATTTTATAACAAGTAAATTATAATTGAGCGAAATAACTAATAAGAAAAGTTAGTACACAAAATTATTATGTTTTTATATACACAAGTATAATTGTGCAGTTTTAATGTCCTCTATTAGTACGGTTTTAATCTAATTATTTATGAAACGAAGAAAGATTTATGTTTTATAATATTCCAATAAATTTGTTAAATCAGGATTTGAATCAAAAAGAATCATTAATTAATTTGGACAAAGTACAAATAAATAGTTTTCATTTTGATTAAAATAAAGCAATACTTCGTATAGTGCGGCTTCGATCAGTCCGGATTTTATAACAACTAAGTCTTAATTGAGCGAAATAACTAACAATGAAAAATTAGTAAACAAAATTATTA